GGAAGTCCTTCGAGCAAAGGGCCGACATCACCTGCACCAGCCTGACGGGCTGCCAGCACGAGGCCCTCGCATCCTTGAGGCAGGAGCAATTTCATTTGCTAATGCAGGATAATTAGCAAGCACAGACTCTCTCACCTCTCAAAACATACAGCTCGAAGAGGTAAAACTCACACGTGATCCTAAGTGCCACCGGCTTAACTTTTGCTCCATTACACCAACTTTTTACAATTTCTTCTCACCTGATCATGCACAAAAGCTGCATGTTATACTTACACCAGCTGCCAGCAGCTTCATCTAACAAGAGTATAGATTGGTTTTCTTCCTGGGGAATTATTTCATTTCAAGCATACGTTATACAGACCAAAACACAAAACTCTATGAAACATCCCCAAACTTCTCTCTGGTTAACTCATACCAGACTTCTGACCTGGCACTGTCATGCATGCCTGCCCTCCCCCAGTGTTCCTACCTGGCCCACACGAATTGCTTTACAAAACTGCCCAAGTTTTTCCCCACTGTTCTCAAAACTATTTCCACCCCTCGATAAAAACAAAAACCCTTCCCTGCTCAAACAGCCTCCAGAGAAACAGGGTGTTGCAGATCACTGGCCAGTACTTGAAAAGTGTTTAGCCAGCAACGCGGTGTTTATGCCAATGTCACTTTCAAGTTACAAAAGGTGCTGATGATGAAATTCTGCTATTTTACGAGCTGGAATTAGTAAGGAGGTTTTCAGAGGCAAGCTAATGGTGAATTTAGATTTGCAGTTGCACACATGCATATTTTTAATCAAAATAAAAGAAAAAACACACATTTTCTATATTTGAAAAAAACAGTTGGCTACAAAGAGATAATGAACATAAAAAGGTAGAAGTCTGAGGACTACTTTTACCTCTTTATACATTATGGATTTTGATTTGTTCATTCTTAAGCAAGGCCATGATACCTACTTAGGTGTTTTTGGTTTTTGGTTTTTTAATATTCAGGGATGTCTCAAGATGACTGTTGAATTGCACAATGCCAAGCAATATAATTTTTCCTTTGATTTTCATATACAAAACAGGCACAGGATTTATTTGCATGACCAGATGTCAAATTCTATGAAGTTTTGTAGAATGGTCTGTGTTTCAGCTAGTGAATCTGGGCTTTCCTGTTCTATGCTGCCCTGTGGGTGCTCAGCAGCTTCCCCAGGCAGGAGAAGAAAGAAGTTACCGCCAAGCCCAGGCCACTGGACAGGTGCAAAGGATGAAACCCGGGGGACCAGAAAGACATTTTATACATTTATTTTTTATTTAACCTCTTCTAGGACACTGCTGGCCACCACCAGCATGGACACTGGAGGATATCTCTTGTTTTCAAACTGTGCTTTAATTACCATCATTATTTTCTGCATTACCAGCATTCTAGAGGCTCTTGATAATCTTTAAAGTCTCCTCGTACCCAGTGCAGTATGAGAAGCCCTAGATGTACGCCAGGCCAATAAACCAATTCTCTATTATTCTTTCAATGAAATACACAGTAAAATAAACAAACAAATAAAAAGCATCAGGGAATAAAGTAAGACCCCATCTCTTACCCTAGGAGGAGATCCAGCAACATTCTCCCAGCAAGACAGTGGAGAAGCTTTGCAAACCCTCCTTGGCAGGGCTGGGAAGAGAGCCCACATCTCTCCTGCAGCAAACGTCCCCCCAGCACTGCTCAAAATAACAGTCTCATACGCAGATTTGGCTGTGCCCACACGCTGGCCTTTCTGAATCCTACTGGCTACCTGTGCCAGGAACAGGAACACTAGTACTAGTCAATACAGCTGCGCAAGCAGAGGGAAGGAGGAGAAACTGCTCTGTCCTCCTTTCTTTCCTCTCTCAAAGCACAGTGAGCAACGAAGTACAGGTGGTTCATGCCTGTATCGACCACTGCTTTAGAAAGGAACTGGGAGCACTTTGGGAAGCTCAGGGGATCTGCATGGCCCCAGGACACCCCCAGAGGGTGGCTGGCTTGGCCCTAGCACCACCCCAAGAAACATGGGCACGTCGGCGCGGGGGTCGGCGAGGAGCCCCTTGGTTTGGGGCAAGTGCAATCGTGTTGTAAAGACTGCATATAGAGTTAACTGCTTTTCATGGTAACAAGCATTATCCTAATAAGTCCAGGTGTATTCAGTTTTCATGATCCGTGGAAGTGATTTATTTATCATAAAAGTTTACATACCATAAGAACAGAATTTGCAGTAGTGACAGTCTTCCAGTTTTTAAAGAGCAGAATCAAATCCTGATCTATAAAAGCAAAGGCTTCCAAGGCTGAAAACAGCAATGCTAAAATCAATTTAGCTAATTAAAATCAACTACTGAAGAGTGTGGAAAACTCAAACAAGCAAGGAATGTTGAGGCTCCCCATTAACTAATATAAAAGATAGCAACTGTGTCGTATCACACAAAATATTTTTCTTATTACAAGTCTCAAAAGCTCAGCCTGGTACTACGAAAAAAAACATACACAGAGTGTAGCAAGAGCAACAAGAATAACAGAAGCTACATGAGGCCTGACATATGCGATGTGCATGATTTAAGCCTGATTCATGAAGCAGCCTGCTAGTTTCTCAAGTGCTCTCAGGCAAAGGGAGGGAGAGGAGGATACCCCCTCACCCACTCACTTTGTATTAATTGGAGGCTGAGAGTGTTTGCCTTCCAAACAATACATTCATCCATGTTTCTATAAAACAGATTTTATTTTCAAAAGCCAACCCTTGCAACTTCGAGAGGTCAACCCTTTCCAAACGCCAGTTTAAACAGCTAAAGACTACTCAATTTACTCGTTCTGTGTAAGATGCTACAAGAGCAGAGCTGAATTCAATACATAGTTTGTAAGTCTGGACCGTGACTCAAGAAGGCTGCTACAGGGAGACCTGAACAACCTCCCTGAAAAAACCCTTAATTTGCCATCTGTACAGCATCTTACACTTACACACATCTCCTCACACTATGGAAAACCAGCCACCAACCTAAGTATTCCTCTGCATTTAACACCATGGTGCAAGATACCATCTGTCTGAGGAATAAATCATCTAATTACAGCCTAACCTGGGTGTAATCTGTAGACGTTACCATAATAGCAACAACAGTCACCACAGCCTAGCTTTAAAAAGTCAAATACGTGGATACAACTCAGGTAGCTTTTAACAGCAGTATAAAGCCAGCCACAATTAATAAGGACAGCAGCTGTAACTGCCCCCAGAAGTAAAAAGATGGACGAAGTCTGAAGATAAAAACCCCTCTCATTTCATCAAGACGCTAACAGCTTTCCTAGATTAATGCCATTGTCACAACAAAGACCCAGAGCAGCTCTACATCCGGCTCACTTCTGAGCCAGATTTAATTTACAGAACTCTGCTCAGCCCCCAGCTACATAACGGGAGCCACTACTCAGTGCAGGGAAAGGATCTGCTAACTGGTAGAGCACGAGCTGCAAAGTAACGAGTTGCTACTGAGGGGAGAAAAGGCTCCTGCAGAGGCACTGGAGAGAACAAGCCCGGAATTCAAACAAGAGCACTCGAGTATTTGGATAGCTAAGTGGAAAAAAAAAATACCCAGCACATACACTGGTTCTAACAGAACCACAGCAGTCACAACAGTGATGAACTGTTTATCACGATCCATCTCTTTATTAGGAAATACAAACGGCCGCTTCATTTGCTTCCCTTTCCCCCCTCTGCTGTCCACACCAATTCATGGCACAAAACTCAGTGGAAAAATTTGGATCTAAACTATGTGGGAATGTTGTCTCCAGCCATGCACATAAGCAAATGTAAAACCCAGGAAAGAAAACCCCCCTAGGCAGCTTCCTAGCTAGTTTTCTTCATTCCTCCAGATCAATAGGCAAATTTATATGCTCATTCACTCCTAGAAAATGGTACTTTCAGGGACAGATGTAAATAAAATATTAAATACTGTAGGGCTCACACCAATAAAATGTCTAGGATCACCATGATAGGAAGGAGCTGTCATATTCAATAAGCATCTGCCCATGCTGGAGAAGGTGGACATGAAAAAAGTATATTTGCTGCATTCTAAAAATATTTTGGATGTTACTAAGATATAAGATATAAATATATTGTATCAAGGAAAATGCATCCACAGAAAGGAAAAGGAAAAGAATAAAAGAAAAACAATCAAGATGTATAAACATTTGTAAAAACAGATTTAGAATATTCTATGATTTTTTTTCTTCACTGTAACTACCTAATAGTCTAAAGTAACCCTCTCAAAAGACAATACACAATGAAGCACACCTACTTATTTGTATTTATGGAATGATAATGTTTATTTGACAAATGTGGGGGTAGAACAAAGAAAAAACACTATTGTGCATATATTGAAATCTAGCAGAAGCTTTTGCAGTAAACAATCAAAAAGGCAAAAAAAATGCTAACCTAATTTGGCTACAGGCACAGTGCCTATGAATGCTAACCCCGACTGACACATGGAAAAATATAAATGAAGGGATACTCACTAATCAAATTACAAAAACAAAAATACATGCCCAGAGTAGGCATATGAAGAGACAGAGAAGAGACACAGCACAAATGGTCTCATGACTTACTAGAAAATTAAGTCATTTGATATTATACAATCCATCAAGCACTCTTGCTTAAAAGTATAGAAGACTATTGCAAAAGTCAGAGGAGAAAAACCCACAACCTCGTCATCAAAACTTGTCTTGCGGAGTTTGAGGAGGACCCTGAGAAACTAAACTTGCTGTCATTTGCAGGGCTGCTGCACACTTCAGCTGGTCTTGGTCAGGCAACTCTGAGGAATGCTTGCTAAGTGTCAGAACATACATGCATCACTGAAATCTTGTTTTTGCTTCTACACATCTCAAAAACAAAACAAAGATTACCTTGGTCTTACACTGTCCACTTGAATTAGCAAAATTCTGAAGTTATTAGTACAACAGAAAGTTATATTAAAACAAAATGAATTTGTTTTCAAAGCTAAATAATTTGTTTTTACCTGAAAATTGACATCTTCTTTCTTAAATATTAGTGCTCGAACTTCATCGGGATCTCCGTTAAATATAGCTTGAACCAAAGGTGGCTGAAACACAGAAATAAAAAGGAATAGAACTTAGAGTACAATTCCATTTTATTTTTGGTTGATACACGCATGGCTTTGGGCTACATAATATACAAACACCAAACAAGGACAAAACAGAACAACCCCAGCAGTGAAGTGAAGGCTCAGAAACAAGAAAATAGAAAGAATTCCAAATTTTAAGTTTTAAAAACCTCAAAGACACCAACATATTCAAGTCACTGCACCAATCAACAAACCAACAAAAAATAAAATAAAAAACTAATAAAAAAAGCTTATGGCTGAAAAGAAAAATCGCTGTAATAAAATCAGGGCTTAAAATAAAGTACAGTGAATCCTGTAAAATAGATGCTAATGTAAAAGGGATTTGTGGGCAAGTGACTAAAGTTATTAGAAATCTTCACCTGTTTGGGCAGAGTAAGAAATCAAAGTGCCTCCACTCAGTAAGTATGGCAACAAATTCACACTCACACACACGTATTACTAAATATAGCAGGATTTCTTGGTAAGTAAGGAAAGCTGTGGGGATACGTTAGTGTGATTTTAGTCAGGCATTTGACAAAGTTAAATCATTTAAAGAAGCAAAGGCGCAAGATCCCGCAGCGCTGACCATATCTAGGGAGCAATAACCTGAACCTAGGGCAGGTCGCTCCTAAGACCTCTGCTATTTTTTATTTTAGCTTATAGCTAGCGGTGCTTCCCGTACCCAGTTACCATACCAGCTCTCCTCTGAGCACAGCGAGGGGTTGCAATGTAACCATTACATCAGTTTCTAAAGCCGTACCACGCAAAGACGCCGTGGGGAAGGGACAGTGACGTCCCAGGAGAATCATTTGCTCAAACGCAGAAAGTTTATCGGGCCCTTGGGGACCTTCTGCACAGGGCCAAGATTTGCCTTTGCTGCACCAGAAATGAAGTTGCTTGCAAAGGAATGAGCCCCCTGACAAAAACACCAGCTCTGCACCTCAGCTTTGCCTTTTCCCACTGCTCAGCACGGGCAGTTTCTACCATCTCTCCTCTAGTTTCCACATCAGGCAGCTCCTCGCTAACGCTGTGACAGCTACTAGCAGCACTTGCGAGAGCAGCGGGGCCGTGAGCGGCGCCGACACGCGACAGGCCTTACCAGCACGTTTCCAGGGGCCGGGGGACGGAAAGGTACATTCTCCTGGGGAGATTCGGAGAGAAACGTGGGAGACTCATCTTCCACCTCCTCCAAAACAACGATACACACTCGACTCATTCGATCCGTTTGAGGAAGGCAAAGCAAACAGAAACAAAAAACGCCTGCAACTCTATTTTTGCAACCCCCGTGTAGGTATCACCCTGCGGAGCATGTAGAAAACAGCTTCACTCTTCCCCAGACACTCACAAACTTGTAAGTGCTACTGCTGGTGGACTGACATTTAAAAAAAAAAACTCCAGTCCCTCCTTACACTTCATTTTTCAGATTTAAACACCCTGAGACGTTCAAAGCAATGGTTAAAAAAGTTTTTTTTTTCTTTTTTCTTTTCCCCAGTAGGATTTCACTCCACATGAAAAGCGCAGCAGGAAAGCCGGGAAGGGCTGATGAGAATGTCCCTCGGTGCGGCTCGGCGGGAGCCGGCGGCGACGGTGGCGTCGGGGGCCGCGAGGCGGCACCGAGCGGCCCCGCAAGGTCAGCGGCGCCTCTGCTGCCCGCGCGAACGACCGCGGTGCCGCTCCCCCGTGCGTTTCGGCAGCCTCGGCTGTCAATGTCAAAGACGGTGCATCCGGCAGGAAAAAAAAAAAGCAAGGCATCTGCTTTTCAGCAGTTATCAGAAGGCGGCCAGAGGATGATAGTTCTTCCCCATGCAATAAAAATATCCGCAATGTAGAGCGCGGCTGCAGCACATTTACATGCGATGAGTCAGAGCGCAGGGACAATGCGAGTCCCGGAATAATCTTGCCGCTTCCCCCCGCGACAGGCACCAAGCGCCGCTCGTCAGCGCTGCCAGCAGCGCAGAGGCTCCGCTCCTCCTTCGGCGGGCAGGAGCAGGGGCTTCTCCGTCGGCGGCCACGTCGGGAAGGAGGCCCCGGCCAAGGCAGGCAGCTCCCGTTACTGCCCCGCGGCTGCGGCTCCTGCGGACGCTGCTCCCGCGCTGCTTCTGTCACTGTGCGAGCGTGGGCCCCGTGGTGCTCTCCAGTCAAGGCTGAGGGGGGAGGAAGCGGGCAAAGGAGAGGGGGAGGAACAAAAAATAATAATAATAAAAAGAATTTTACAAATCAGACTCCGTGCATCTTCTCTGAGCCAACTTCCTTATTCAAACGTCTGTCGCTGTGCCAAGTCGATTTTCCTCTTGAGCTAGCGGTCCTGCTCATCAATTTTTCCTTGACAGATTAAACGACGTGGTCAGCAGGTAAGTCTCGCAAAGCTTTTTGAAAAAGAAATAAAAAGAAAATGAAAATGACCAATAAAAAGCGTAAGGGTCGGGTTGGGTGCCGGGGAGGCGGCGGAGCGGAGCAGGACGGCAGCGTCGCGGTGCCCGCGGAGCGCAGGCTGCTGCAGCTCCCGGAGGAG